AACCACTGAATAGATCCTGCATTGAATGGAAGGAAGGCTGCACATGTGGAGCCCAACTAACTGTACTAGTCATACAACAGAAGAGAGCAGAGCCAGGGAGGTGCAAGAAGATAATAGGTTTTATTAACTAAGTGGTTAGGTGCCAGTAAAATATACCAAACCCATATAGTTATGTACTGGTCTAAAGGAGTGACTCTTAACCTTTTTGGTCCCAGGACTCCTTTATACTCTTAAAAATAACTAAAAAAAATAAGAACTTTTGTTTATGTGGGTTATATCTATCAACATTTACTGTACTCAAAAACTGAGAATAAAACTAATAACATATTAATACATTTAGAAAAATAATACATCCATCTCATGTTAATATAAATAACATTTTAAAAATGAAACATAGTTATATTTTCTAAAACCAAAAACAAATTAGAAGAATGGCACTGTTTTACATTTTGCAAATATTTTAAGTATCTGGCTTAATTGAAGACAGCTAGATTCCTCATATTTACTCTGCATTCTATCTATTGTTATATGTTTTTTTGGATGACGTATATAAAGGAAATCTGGCCTCACACAGACATGTAGTTGAAAAAGAGAAGACCTCACAGACTTCTAAAACTGTTTTGGGAATCCTTAGGGGTCTTTGTATCACAATTTGAGAACAGATGGATAAAGAAAGAAAATCCGAAACAGAAACCAAATGAAAAACAAAAGAAATCTTAAAAAACTAAACAATAAATGCGGGAGTATTTTAAAGATTAACACTTGAAATATGTTTTAAAAGGTAAAAACAATACTAAGCAGAAATAAAGTGTTATGCAATGATACAATTCAAATCATAATTTTAAAAATACTTTTTACCTGTCTAGCAGAAACCTGAGGTATTCAGAACAATCTTGCTGTGACCTGGGAGTAAACCATGGAGGTCTGGAAGCCTCAAAGAATATCCGAGGTGCGTATGCTTCCCTCTTTTGATAGCAGTAGAGAAAATACAAGAAACACACCATGAAATAAGTAACTGAAATCTTAATATACAATGTTTAGTGAAGATTACTTAAAATTACATTGTACTCAGCCTTTACTAAAAAGTGCCAGACATGGGGGCAACTTAGGGGCAGATAAAATTAGTTAGAAATAAATTTAGGTAAACTTTGGTCCTTACTTCTCACTCTGAAGAGAGTAGAGAGCTAGAGAAATTATGTGACTTGTCCAAGGTCAGACAGCTAAATGAATGGCACAGGGGATTACATTAGAACAAGTCTCTAATACTTGCTGCAATACTTCGGTCATTATCCCTCTATGACACTCATGTGATTGAGTTCACGATTTTTTAAAAAATTGAATCAGAAAAAGATATGTTAATGAATATATATCTTGAACAAAGTAATAAGGGAATACTCTACAGAGTCATGCATATCTACTTGAGGTGAAAATTTCCTTGACTGGAGGTA